TGTTGACCATTAGCAGATTAAGATAGATTGGCAGAACTCATGAATAGGTTATATATATTTTTTTGTTTGTAAGGTTCCTTTCTCCCTTGGAACTCTGTCAACATTTATAGCCATCCTTGCTGGTAGGTATCATAATGAGGCTTGTTTGTGAGATTTTGTTGGCAGAACAAGGGATCCAAGATAAGTAAATCCTGCTATAAACCAAGGCCACCTGTCCTTAGAAATTTGCCAGGGCAGAAAATACACGAAAGGTATACTGCCCAATGCTCAGGCAAGCTGGATTTAGCCTAGGCCAGGCCTCAGGAAAATTTCTCCCTTACTCCCAAGACCAAATTTTACCACCAGTTAGTTGTGTGGCAAGAAAAGTGGCCAGAATATTCAGGAGTAGGCCCTGGGTTTGTGCTTCAACCTCATGGGCTCATAAAGAAGACACACAAAATGATGTATGTATCCCTTTAAGACGCAGTGACCCTGCCCATTAACAAGCATGGCCCAACCCCTGTTCTAGAATTGTAGAGGAGCTAGAGAGTAGTGGGGTTGGGGCTGGAGGGGTTTTCTTCTAACCCCACCCATAAGAAGCATTCCAGTCATGAATTCAGCCATTGTATAGCACATTATAATTTGTGACTTCATGTGCATTATCTTTTTAAAACCCTCACTCTCTGAGGTATATGAACATTATCATCATTTTACGGATGAGGAAACTGAAGGTCAAAGCAATTATATGTCTTGCCCATGAATTATGCAGTTTGTAAGTGGTGGGTGGACTTCTGTTATATCGTGACCACTCAGTATTATAGCAGGGATAGATAGCTTCTGAGCATCTAATTTTATTTTCCTTTCCAATAAAGATAACAGTGCAGCTGAAGAAGTCATTTATAATTACTCTAAGGAGAGCTTGGCATTCTAATAGAGCAATTTGAAGTTCTGAAAATTTTTTTATATTCCCATTATATATTCCTGGAGGGTACACATAAAAAATGTGCAAAATTATTATATAGGTATATAGTTTCTAAAGCCTGATGATTACCATTTCTAAATCTTGGTTTCCTTCAAATTCCATTAACCATTCAAAGACTGGATTGAGCTTCAGCCATCCAGAGTCAGGCTGCTGGAAACCTTGATAAAGACACTCAACATTTACGTGTAAATAGCTGAGCAAATAAACAAATGTGCCATTCTCGTAGACTTTGTGGAAGCATTGACTTCATCAGTATGATTTGAACAACATCAGATGGAAATACTTTCATTGGGAGGATGGATAATACATTTCAGACATCTTTTATATTTTTTATATATATTTCATTTTGAAATATTTTTTATTCATTAATTGCTGCATTTTACCACCTCAAATAAGCATTCTGTCACATATATTTGGTTTAATAAACTTAAAATGAAAAATACGAGTGAAACGATGTAAGAAATAAAAGACAAATTTTTAAGGAAGTATTCAGATTGTAATAATCTGGGATTTTTTTTTCTTAAAGTGCCTCTATTAGGACAGGTAATTTTACCATTGAGAGGGCTAATTTAGTGAAGAATATATTATAGAATTTTTAGAGTTTATTTGAAAAGTTGCTTTTTTCATCTTCTCTTTGGAATTTTCACTGAATTGGACTTGTGTTTTATTTTTTATTAAGTGATATTATTACGTCAATTTCCAAGACAGTTTTTTAAATTTAAGTTGTAACTTATTTTTAAATCCTATTAGAGTTAATTTTTCAAAATTTTTAAAATCTTAATTGCTTGTTATATTGTAGATGCTTTCTTGTTTTTAATGTTTTTCTGTTGGTCAGTTGTGGATATTGTGTTTTAGTTTATTGAACCATAGAGCTCTGACATTTACTAACAGGAGTAAAATGGTTTTTCTTTTCTTTCCTATTAAGACCATAAACATTTAGTTAACTTAACCATGTCTCAACTTTTTTCCCTGTTTTTAAATGTTTTCTTTCTACTAATAAGTCTTTAAATTAAAAATAACAGTCAATTAAAAAAAACTGGTTGATTTAAAAAGTTCACCTGTCTGTAAAAAATATTAACAGTATTAAAGTAGTGTCTTATTTTTTGGAGGGCAAGGAGGGTGCCTTTAACTGAGTAATTCTAGTTTCAGTGTAATGCCTTTAAGAGATTTTCATGAAACTGTCATGAGCTGGAGTTCAGGCTTTGGCAGAAATTATGGTTTTTCAATGCTGTGTTATAGGTAGGCTCGGAGGCTTCTTCTGTGAGTCTGGCTCTGAGATTATGGGGTTAGAATCTGTCATTTTATTCTGAGATTCTCTTGCTTATTTTACTGTTATAATGACAATGAAAATTTTCTTTTTTAATAAAAGATAGAAATACTGTAATTGAAAATGCAGGATGCGGATTAGGCAGTCTTCGGTAAGCTTTATCTATTTCTTTTCCTTTTTTAGTTTCTAGAATTGTAGTTCCTTAAGTTAGTGTTATCATAAGATGGGCCATGACTCTGTAATTTCTGGCTGTGACATAGTATTGCTGTTGAATCCACTATTTTTTTTTTTTTTTGCTATTCAACTATGTTTTCCATGTTGTAAATTTTCTAGGTTGATAAATTTGGGGGCAGATTTCCCTTGAAGACAATGAATCTTAACTCAGGGGCCCTCCCTTGAGTGGATGTCTTCCAAAACTCTGTACCTAATTTTGTTTTATAATTTTATATTATTTTCTTTAAAGAGGGTCCCTAAGACTATATAAGCTTTAGGCCCTACCTCACTTGGATTAGCCTCTGGCTGATATGCAAACTCACTGAAACTGGAAGAAAAGCAATGACAAAGATAGACTTGAACCTTCAGAAACTTAGTCAAGGTATCTGGCAGGTGCCACATATTCTTTTCTGGTGGAAGATAGGTTCTGGACAATTATGCTAATTAGTAGATCTTTGTATCTAAAACCAGATGCACAACTGATGATCATGAAAGCATCACAAGTAAAGTTTGAGAGGCTTGTAGTCCTTGACTGAGTTCTGTTGTGTAGATAATCAGACTTTTGGTGAGGTTCTCTTAGAAAAACAGATAATTTCAAACATTGGGAAATGTTTGTAAACATTTAATTACATGTAAGCATGTAAAATCTCACTCTTTAACCTATATTTTGTATATTCCCTCACCCATGGCAACAGCGTATATCTTCTTCAATTTATCACCATTGTTTTTCTCCTGTTAGCCATTCCTGCACCTGTCTTGAGAAAAATCCTCATAACTGATGAGAATGTTGATGTAGTATATGTGTAACATGGACTCTTCACGTATCCTTGTGTGTGGGAAGATAAAAAAGACCATGCAGGGCGCCTGGGTGGCTCAGTTGGTTAAGCAACTGCTTTCGGCTCAGGTCATGATCCTGGAGTCCCGGGATAGAGTCCCACATCGGACTCCCTGCTCGGCAGGGAGTCTGCTTCTCCCTCTGACCCTCCCCCCTCTCATGCTCTCTGTCTCTCATCCTCTCTCTCGCAAATAAATAAAATCTTAAAAAAAAAAAAAAAAAAAAGACCATGCAAGCTGAAACCATGCAATACGATCTTAAAACTCAGTGGAAAAATTTGTGATTATTCTGTGACTTTACCCATGTCTGTCAAAACATTAAAAACTCTCTTACTCTTGGTTATAAATGCAGGGAAATGCAAATAATAGTAAAACTCATATTTAGCACACTGTGATTTAGAACTTAAGAAACATTGAGAATTAAAGCATTTCATTTCTTTTTAAGAAAACTATCATGAGTCACTTGAATTATACTGCCTTCTCCTGATACAGCATGACATGAAGAGAGCATTTTTTTCTCTTAGTAAATGCTCATACTCCTTCATAAATCTGCATCAACCACAACTATTTTATTCCTGTGCTCTCACGATTGTGAACTATCTCCTGTGGTTTCTTTTAATGTGAAATTTTTTTACTGGCGTCACTTCCTCTGGGAAAACTTTTTTTTTTTTTTTTTAAGATTTTATTCATTTATTTGACAGAGAGAGACACAGTGAGAGAGGGAACACAAGCAGGGGGAGTGGGAGAGGGAGAAGCAGGCTTCCCGCCGAGCAGGGAGCCCGATGCGGGGCTCGATCCCAGGACCCCGGGATCATGACCTGAGCCAAAGGCAGACGCTTAATGACTGAGCCACCCAGGCGCCCCTGGGAAAACTTGGTCATCTTTGTCACAATCGCTTTCCTGACTTATGTTGATAAGTTCACCCTCCCTAAGTTCTTCCAGCTGCACATCTAGAGTCTCTCAAATGACAACAGTGTCAACATGCATAGTCTTGGGTTTCGTCTATATCTTCATTTATGTTCGATTTGAATGTCCCCTTCCAGCATTATCATTTTTCATTTCTTCACTAGACTTTAATCTTTGATGGCTAATTCCTGCTTTCAGTTATCCGTTTTTGTAAAATGTCACATGGGTTTATTGCTGAGAGCCAAGGAGGCAACACAACTACATGCTTTGAGTCTGGGCGTGAACTGAATAACAGATGTACGGGGACCAAGACTGAGGGGCTTGGAAAGAAGTGATGTGATTGGTTACTGACTGTGATGTGTATCTGTTATTTACTAGTGATTTGTAGCTGAGGAGCTAACAGCAAAGTTTATACTTTATGCAGTTATTTACAGTTAATATACTATGATAACTGAAATTTGAATTGTGCTGTTGGGAAACTGGTGTTATTTAACTAAACCATAGTTACTGAAATTCATGCCTATATGAACTATGTAAGTTGATGATTCTCTCTCTCTCTCTTTCTCTCCCTCTCTTTCTCTGTGTGTGTATATATATATATATACACACACATATGAAATAATTTCTAAACCTAGCTTTTAGCAAGAAGTTTAACAATCACGATTAAAACATTGTTTCAATAATTTAGTTTGTTTCGTGGGAGCAGTATTTAATTTTGTAACTAAATTTGAATACTCAATCAAAAGAGACAACTATGTGATTTTATATAGCATTTGAAAAGCAACACAAAACTGAAATGGATTGTTTGTTTTTTCCCAGTTTTATGTATGGAGAATTGACTGACAAGAAGACCATTGAGAAAGTCAGACAGACTTTTGACAACTACGATTCAAACTGCTTTGAAGTTCTTCTGTACAAGAAAAACAGTAAGTATCTAAATTACCAATAAGATGTGTCAACTCTGATTAATGTTATGTTTTGGTTAGTGGTGGTTGAGCTATAGTGTAGAGAGAATATCAAACTTTGTCCTTCTCTTGGTAAAGGCAGGGGGTGCTGATAAAATTAGAGAGCAAAACTAATGAGTGATTCTCCCTATGAAAAGCAACCTTTTGAGGAATGGCAGGAAAATATGGTGCATTTTAAATGTGATTTTGTATGTGTGTGTAAGGTGGCAAAATGTTTTGTAATTAATAGTCATGGTAAAGATCCTACAGTTACATGATAGCAACTAAAAATGATAGGGAAATTCATTCATTTCTTCTTGTGGTTAATGGAAAAGGTGATTGGTATCACTGAGTATGTGTGATTCCCTTTCTACATGTGCACGGCTGACGTGGTTATTGACTTGAGGTCTTTACCAATGTGGCCTTTTGCTAGACTCTGACTCTTTTGTGTAGAAGGCTAACAGAAGTAGTTCCTACTTTCAGAATAGGCCATTCACATCTGGTAAATATATATTGATTATGGTGAACTGTTCTCTAGGATGGAATTTGTGAATGATCAGTTGTCCATTATATATCACATAAGACCTCATGATATGGACTCTCTTTCAGAATTTGCAGCCAAACAAAAACCAACTATTGTACTCCACAACCAAATTTCCTTTCTAATTTGTTTTCTTTGAATAGTTTGGTCACTGACTTTTATTTCTTTTTCCCAAGTTGACCTTTTTTTTAAAAAAAAAATTTTTTTTTAAATGAACAGTCCACTTTACAAGATGGGTCAATTTATTTAGTGTTAATGATAAATGACGGCAAAGCCAATTATTACCATTTTTTAAAAAGATTTATTTATTTATTTGACAGAGAGAGAGAAAGAAAGGGAGAGAGCATGAGTGGGAGGGACAGAGGGAGAGGAATATCAAGTAGACTCCCCGCTGAGCATGGAACCCAACGTGGGGCTCGATCTCATGACCCTGAGATCATAACCTGAGCCGAAATCAAGAGTCGGACACTCAATCGACTGCGCCACCCAGGCGTCCCAAAGCCAGTTATTATCTTTAGTGGAAACTGATGGTTACTAAATTCTTCCCCAGTTTGGGAAGCATTTTAGCTTCAAGAGGAAGCACTTGCTCCATGTTCAGAGCGGGCTGGATTTTTTATAGCATAATTCATCCTCTCCACCTTACTCAAACATTTATTCACTATAAAATATTTAGAATTGAACTTAGGTTTTTCTTTTTATTAATAGACCATCAAAGGCATAATCACAGCCACAGGCATTGCTTTAAAATTAGTGCACTTGGTAATGGGAATACTGGTCTTTAGTGGTTTTACCTATGGAATGTCTTATTATTTTATCTTTCATTTTAGAATCAAGGCCAAAGAGGTATTCCTCTTTATTCATGGCCAAATGTCTGTTGGCTTGTCACCTAGAAAACAATCCATTCTGAATGATCTGCTCTGGCCTCGACCAGAGAAAAGTCAAGCTTGAGGTGTCCTCTGGGTCTTTCTCACCAAGTCCAGATATATATCGATAAATTTGTAGTAGACTCCTATGTCAAAACCCTGTATCTTTTTCATATAGGTTGTTCTCCTTTGAATGACTTAGATATGTGCCCTGAGTTTAGCAAATAATTTAAGGATATTCCCTATTACTAAAGTCATTTCACTTTGACACTAAGAAGAATAAACAAATATTTGCCTGATTTTAAAGCATGAGAACCAAGTTCATAGTGTCTGAGTTTCTTAAAAATACCTTTGTGGAGATTCTGTTTTCCTTATATCCTTTAAATCATGTTAACAAGAACTTGAATTTTACATTTCCAAAAGTTTCCTTCCAAGGTGGTATTTTGCTTTATTTTAATGTTTTGAAATTCTGTTATTTGCATTGAGTTTTTTTCATTAATATGGATAGGTATCATTTAGGTATTTTAGTGGAGTTCTACTACACTGAAAGGAGCTTTAAAAAATCTTGTAAATTGTTACCTGAAGGTTCTTGAACATCAACTAGAAAAAATATGTTTTTGTAACATTTTAAAAATGTTAGATAGAAAAATTCACATGTCTGTAGATAAATGTTTTGGGAATGCCTGAATGCCACGTCTTCCTAACACTTCCATTAAGTAATTAGGTTAAACAGCATTTTGCAAATGGGGGGATTGAGGTATCTGATTTAACATGTGTCATCATTGACATTTCAGTTTGTAGGCTCTGTTTTTAAGGTGCATTGCTCTGATTAGTGGGAACCGTTTCTGTTGGGAAGGAAACAGTAGCACTAGGGTGATGGTTTAAATGGGTCTTCCTGTCTGCACAAAGGCACACCTGTGATAGTCTGGGCCGCCCAGATAATCAATGCTAAGACACTGCCCTGAGTTTCCATCTACGACTGGCCTCTCTGCCTAACCCTCTCAGACGTTCTGCTCTCTTGAACCCCCAGACCAGAGTATGGATATTTTGCCAGCCACTCAGCAAATACTCTGTCTACTTGAGGAATCTGACCCTGTAAGTCAACTTTGATAGCTGAAAGCAGTTTTAAAAAAACAGTCCTGCCTCTAGGCTAAAATTTGAAAAATTGCTCTTTTCATAGAATGTGCAAAATGTAACATCATCTCTTTCTGTTCAGATTTTTAACAGACCTTGGAAAATGACTGATTTTTAATGCCCTTTTCTCTGTTTATGACCCTGCTGCCTCAAGCTCCTGTGTTGGAACAGCCACAGGCCACGTATCTGCTAGCATGTGTCTGGTGATTTGTAGAACTGTGTACATCACTCACAGTTCTTGGGTACACTGTGTAGAAGAAGGAGCAGAAAACAAGGAACAAGCCTCTCTGGGAGATGGTGTGATGGTTTTTGAGATCCCTGTCTCACCCAGTGATCATTTTGGAAAGGGCCGTGTTTTAAAAGGCCCCAGGGTTGCTAAGGATCTGGTTGTCAGAACTGAATATTCCATAAACACCTCCTCTTTCTAATTCTCTGACTTCTTGAACCTGGTAGTTAAGCCATCTCTTCTTGTCTACATGACAAATTCCCCATTGTGGTGACATTCCTCTGTGAGTTTTTTGGCCAAAGGTATGAAGTTTTTTCTAATTTGGTTTTCGTTGCACCACTAACAGACTATCAACTCTCATATAGAGACTATTAATAGCTGCATATTTCACTCCCCAAATCCCAAACCTAACAAAAGCCTTTATGTCTTTAAGATAGAAAATTTGGAGAGGCTTTACTGCACCATGGCTTGGAAAGAATATAATGGAAAATGTGTCTTTTTGATTCTGATGGAACATTCCTTCAGTGTTTTATCGTTTAATGGATAATTACTCCTTTGAAGGCATTTCTTGTGTCTTCAAATATTTATTGTTTGAAATAATGCCAGTTCCTGGTTTGTCCAAATCCAAAGCCTTAAGTGCTCTGAAACTCTTTGTTTTCTGGAGTCTGCAGGAGCCATTGTTTAAAGAACATAGTGACAGCTCAGAGGATCATAGGGGAAGGGAGGGAAAACTGAATGGGAGGTCATCAGAGAGGGAGAAAAACCATGAGAGACTCTTGACTATGGGAAGCAAACTGGGGTTTGCTGGAGGGGAGGTGGGCAGGGGAATGGGGTAATTGGGTGATGGGCATTAAGGAGGGCATGTGATGTGATGAGCACTGGGTGTTATACGCAACTGGTAAATTATTAAAAAATAAAGAATATTTGAACAACTGCAAACAAAAAAAAATAAAGAACATAGTGACAGAGTCAAGCCTCATTCTTTGAGTGAAGAAGATAGGAAGCAGTGGCTCATGAAGATACCTGAGAATCTCAAGGGCTGGGGGCATGTCTCCCCCCCCCTCACCTTTAAGGTCGCCTTAAAAGCTTCAGGTAGAGTTCTGTGTACAGCAGACATCAAGCGTTGCTGACATCCTCTCTCTCTGATGTGGGACTGCTGTCAAAGGCATAGAGCCATCTTACAACTCTGACTGACGAGAGAGCCTTGAGGTAGGAAGAACATTTCAAATGTTCTTCCAAGAGGAATGCTTATCAGAGCATCAGCGATTGCTGCTGAAGTCAATTGGAAACACTTCTCAAAGGGACAGGAAGAGAGAAGCATGTAGGAGTGGTCACACATGGTGAAACTATGAAAAGGAAGTTGGAGAGAGCAGCGGAGGTGCAGGGACACAGACCTAAAGGTAATGCTGGTGTTACGGTAGTGACACAGCTTTTGTGCTCCTGTGTGGTGAAATGTCACCCTCAGCTTTACTTTCACATTTTGATATTTTGGGTTGAAAAATGTTTATTAATATTTGACCAATTGGTAATTGATACAAAGTTAAATTTTTTTTTTTTTTTTAAATTCTGGAAGCAATTAAAGTACTGTTGTTTTGGTGCTCGTTCCTGGCACAGCAGTGGGCAGCTGAAGAAAGAGGCAAGGCAGGAGACCAAATCATTGCTGTGGCTATGTCACACTCTATTGTCCTTTCTGTCTCTTACAGGAACCCCTGTTTGGTTTTATATGCAAATTGCACCAATAAGAAATGAACATGAAAAGGTGGTCTTGTTCCTATGTACTTTCAAGGATATTACGTTGTTCAAACAGCCAATAGAGGATGATTCAACAAAAGGTAATTTTCTTTTTCTTTTTCTTTTTTGAGAGAGAGAGAGAGTGGGGGGAGGGACAGAGGGAGAGAGAGAGAATCCTAAGCAGGCTCCCTGCCCAGCGTGGAGCCGAAGCAGGGCTTGATCTCACGACTCTGACATCATGACCTGAGCTGAAATCAAGAGTTGGTCACTTTAACTGACTGAGCCACCCAGGCACCCCAACAAAAGGTAATTTTCAAAGGAATGGCCACACTTAAGAATTAGGCTGTCAATTAAATATATTATTATTTAAAAAATACATAGGTTGAACTGGAACACAAAATTTTACTATTTGGTACTTCTTTTGCTTTACATTCATGCTAGTAATTATCCACAACCAGTTTTATTCAATCATACCATTTGAATGGAAATAGCGTGGCTATCCAGAGTAGAAATAATAGTTGGTTAACTTAAATTATAATAAGAGGAATTGAGATAAGACATAAGGAAGAACATAGAGCATTATTAATTTAGAATCAATATAATGGGAATCGTAGAGCATTATTAATTTAGAATCAATATAATGGGAATTTTGACAACTTCTTCCAGGATGAACTTTAGAAACACAAAATATAACAGCCTGTGAGATGGTTTGGGTGAAGTCCTTTTACAGCCCAGTTGATCAGTTGATTGAATTTTGTTGAATTGATTAGAGATTGGTTAGTTGACTTTTTTCACGTTACTTTTCACCCTTTACTTACTCAGCTTTTGTAGATTCTCTTGGGTAGATGCTGTTAGATTATGTGAAGAATAATTTTGTTATCAAGAGAGTGGCTGGCAAAATGCACACATCCTGACTACAGTCTTACTGACTCTAATATTCAGGGGGAGAGTTATAGAAAGCAGTAGTCAGTGGCATGTGCTTTTATCCTGTTTTCTATGTAATTTACTCTCATTTTATTCTCTCCAATTATGTTTAAATTAAAAACTGGTATCTGATAAATGAAGAATTTCAAATACTCTTAGAAGTTTTATGACATGTTATTTTTAATAATCTCTTTGGAGACTAAAAATGTAATCTTCCTCTTTGCATTTGGCATTGCCTTTTCTTACCTCTTTAAAAAAACTGGCACGAAAGTTTAATTTTTCCAACTGTAATCATAATTGTAGAAAAATTTTATAGGTTTATTCCTTGCATATGAATTCACATATATTATACTTGGTCAGTTTTTGGTTAACATCAAATTATAAGAGGAAAATTTTGTAATGTGTAAACCATTTATTTTTATTTTTATATTTTTTAAAGATTTTATTTATTTATTTGAGAGAGAGAGAGCACAAGAGGGGGGAGTGGGAGAGGGAGAGGGAGAAGCAGACTCCCTGCTGAGCAGGGAGCCCGATGTGGGACTCGATCCCGGGACTCCAGGATCATGACCTGAGCCGAAGGCAGTTGCTTAACCAACTGAGCCACCCAGGACCCAGTAATGTGTAAACCATTTAAAGTATAACATGGAACAATTTATTTGTGAATGTTTCTGAAAATGTGTGTATTAAATCATCTCCTGGAAGATCGAATATTCACTTTTGGACTTATTTTACCTGTTCTTCTACCTTTACTCATAGACCCAGTGTCTAGAAGGTTTAGGATGAATTTAAATACTGTTTTTAAAAATAGAATAGTTTTCTAATAGTATTTAGGTTTAATGCTTGTTTGTTTGTTTTAAAATTCAATGTGCTCCATCCAATAGCAATAGAATTTGTGTTCTCAAGCTTATGTGGAACATTCACTAGATAGATCACATTCTGGCCATAAAACACACCTTGGCCAATTTAAAAGAATAGAAATCTTAAAAGGCATGTCCTTAGACCACAATGGAATTAAAGTAGAAATCAATAACAGAAAGATAGCTAAGAAATCTCCAAATACTTAGAAATTAACACATTTCTAAATAACCCATGGGCCAAAGAAGAAGCCTGAAGATAAATTAGAAAAATATTTTGACTAACTGAAAATGAAATTACAAATTATCAAATTAATGGGATATAGCAAAAGTAGTGGTTAGAGCAAAATGTATGTAACATTAAATGCATATATGAGAAAAGAGGAAAGATATAAAATTAAAACCCTAAGCTTCTACCTTAGGGAGACAAAGAAGAGCAATTTAAGTGAAAGCAAGCTGAAGACAAGAAATAAGAAACTTTAGAGCAGAAATCAATGAACTAGAAAATAGGAAAACATTAGAGAAAATCACCACAACTCAAAGCTGGTTCTTTAAAAAGATCATCAAAGTTAATAAACCTCTAGCCAGGCTAACCAAGAACAAAGGGAGAAGAAGCAGATTACCAACATTAGAAGTTAAAGAAGGGCCATCACAACTCATCTCAAGGACATTAAAGCATATAAAGGAATACTTTGATCAACTCTATAGCCACTGAATTGATAATTTAGGGGAAATGGACCATTTCTTTGAAAAACAAACTGCCAGAACTCACACAAGGAGAAATAGATAACTTAAATCATCTTATATCTATTAAAAATTAATTAATAATTAATAAACTTCCAAAACAAAGAAACACCATGTATAATGTTTCTGTTTTTCATTTTTGGCAAATCTACAATCTTTTCCAAAAATAGAAGCAGAGAGAACTCTCCTCACTTGTTCTATGAGATCAGCACTACCCTCATACCAAAACCAGAAAAAGACATCACTAGAAAAGAACATTATAGACCAATATTTCTCATGAATATTCATATAGAAATACTCAACAAAAATTGAATCTACATGACAACTAAGTGGGATCTATTCCACATATGCAAAGTGGGTTCAACATGAAAAAAATCAATCACTGTAATCTACTATTTGAACAGGCTAAAAAAAGAAAGATCATATCATTTCATTTGACATAGAACAAGGATTTGACAAAATCCAGCACCCATTCATGGTAAAAACTCTTAGCAAAGTAGGAATGGAGAGCAACTTCCTCAACTTGATAAGGAACATCAATGAAAAACCTCCAGTTAACAGCTGACTATATCTTAAAGTAATATGTTTTTAAATAAAAGATAAGTAATTTTTATATGATTTGTGACCTAACATTCTTTGGATGAATTTGTCTTGCTTTCACACTGAATGACAGTAATACTGAGTAAAAAGCTTTTGTGTCACAGTATTTTCCCTTATGTAATATTTATATCTATATTTGATGAATATTATAATTCTCTCTCTTTAAGTGATTTCATGACACTGCTGAAGTTAGGGAGAGTACATACAGTACATTCTCAATTTTGATATGCTGAACATTGATTGATGGTGTCAGTATATGTAGTCTATTTATGGAAACTAAAAATTGACAGCATTTTTTAGTGAAATTGGGGAAAAGGTGCTAATATTGAGCATTGACTTTTATTTTTCAAGTTAATGCCCTTCCATTTATCTGCCTACACCTCCATCCCTGTATCCTTATATCAGAATCTCAGAGTTCTTCATCAGGCAAAATCTTTTAAATGCATAACTCATTCTTACAAAAAAAATGGCATTTGAATAAACTCCAAACAACTCAGACCATTTGATTTTGAACTATGTGCTTGATAGGCATGTAAATTAGAATTTACAGGGAAAATCAGACCCCATTGTGAAAATCATTAGAGAAGACTATCTCTTTCCAGTGCCAGAATTTGTGGGGGAAGAGCTTATTTTAAACAGACTTTTATTTTGAGACTTTTCCACACCTTTCAAATACATAACAGATCACTGAAAAAAGTATTGCACAATGTAACTATGAATGCTGTATATGAGCTACTTTCTATTGTTCAAATGAGCTGTAAAATTAATATGAAAAATTCAATAGAAATAAAATATTTATGACATTAAGTAATCATCCTACTATCTCTATGAAGGTAGAAGTATAGGAAAGTGTGTTTGGAAATCTTGGCAGAAAAAATATGTCTCTCAAATTCTTAAGTTGAATAAAGGGGACTGTGGAACTTTTGAGAAAGAGCAGAGGAGATTTCATGATAACACCATAATATCAAAATGATTTGAGTCTAAAACAATGAACTGGGAGATGGTAGATTTACTTTTAATTTAACCTTGGGCACCAGAGTTACTTAACATGAGCCTTCTTATGACTCTTGTAGGAAAGTTTTGTTCCCCTTGTTTATCTATTTTACTGATTTTTTCCCCTCAACCAAAAATGCTGATTAGGCGTACAGAATGGTGCAGGCACCATTCTAGGTCCTGGAGATACACAGTTCCTTCCCATCCTAATGGCGGGGAGGGGAGACAAACAAGTAAATATATATTGGAAGTTTTCTTTCGATTGCTCTTCTCAGGAATATAAAAAACATGGTTATCACCTGAGAGTAAGGATGGTGAAGGAGATGAAGAAGTATTGAAGTCATGGTGAGAGAGAAGTAGGTATGAAATGGTAATCTAAGAGGGTGGAGAAGTGAGCGGGCAAAGGGAATTTGGTAAGCTGAACACTAAGGTCTGCTTCGGACTAGTGGTCATGAGTTCCACTAGAATCTATGAGCATGATTATTGTTTTACTCTATCCATATTTAGTCAAAGATCTATAGATGAAGAAGTAATGAAGAGTTGGATTTAACCAGAGTTGGGATTTGGTAAGGTGAGTGAATGGAAAAGAATCAGGGCAAAGTATCAGGGAGTTGAGGCTGTTGCAAGGGCAGAGATGGAGGGTGTTTGTAAAATTTGAAGAAATACTTAGGTAATAGAGTTCTACCTAGGACATAGGAAATAGTATTTTAAGATGCAGAATAGACAAGTGAATCCATACCTTAGCAGGCCAGAATGGAACTTTTAATCCCAGAGCAAGGGTATTTTTACCTTCCCCCTCCCCCTCCTCCTCTCCCTCCTCTTCCTCCTCCTCCTCCTCTTCCTCTTCTTCTTCTTCTTCTTCAATTCTTCGAGTTAGAAGACAATTAATAAATTTGGTAAAGGGCATCTACACAAAAGGATATCTACACAAATATCATACCTAATGGTTAAAACATTGAAAGGTTTCCCTTTGAGATTATTAACAA